TTTTTTTTTTTCGCACCGAATGTTGTGTTTTTTCGTGCCTGGTGCTCTTTTGTGCGTTAGTTCGGTTGATGGGTTTTTTTTTTTTTTTTTGCGTAATAAATGTTGTGATGCATTCGTGACGTGATTTTAAGTATATTTGACGTAGTTTCTACAGTATCTTTTTGTAAGTCCCTTCCGTTTGCCGGTTGCTGTCTGAGCTGAGAATAGAAAGCTGGTTAATGGTTTGCCTCTAGCGAGTTGCTCTCTATATATATATATGTATTTGAAGTAGTGCACGACCAGACGATGAGTGGCTTGAATTTATGTTTACTTTGTTCTCGGAATACGACTTGTGTTCATTTTTAATTTGATGACGACGCATGAAAGTTTGAACGAATTTGACGCGAGGAAAGCAATTATTGCGCACCACTGACATAATTCAAAATGAGGCCACCAAAGATCAGAACCCTTGCGTGAATAGCGCATCTTCTCCCGAGCATCCTTGCGTGAGAATCCTTGCGCAAATAACTAATCTTTTCCCTGAATCTTTGCGCACATACCGTATCTTGTCTCAGACTTCTTGCGTCAATAACGCATCTTCTCCAAAAATCTTTGCGCCACAATCCTCGCGTCTATCACGCATCTCCTCCCAGAATCTTTGCGTCAGACTCCTTGCGTCAATAACGCATCTTCTCCCAGAATCTTTGCGTCATAATCCTTGCGTCAATAACGTATCTTCTCCCAGAATCTTTGCGTCATAATCCTTGCGTCAATAACGTATCTTTTCCCAGAATCTTTGCGTCATAATCCTTGCGTCAATAACGTATCTTCTCACAGAATCTCTGCGTCAGACTCCTTGCATCAATAACGTATCTTCTCCCAGAATCTTTGCGACAGAACCCTTGCGCAATTAGCGTATCTTCTCCTAGAATCCTTGCATCATTAATATATTCGCCCCTACTTCTATTTCAATGACGCCAACGATCATTGTGATGTCACGAATTTCATGGATAAGCGAACAATGTAAAGGTTTCAATTGTCAGGGATGTGGGCAGCAATGAAAGGCATTGGAGTTGTTGGGGTGGGTTGGGGCTGTGGGCAGCAATGAAAGGCATTGGAGTTGTTGGGGTGGGTTGGGGCTGTGGGCAGCAATGAAAGGCATTGGAGTTGTTGGGGTGGGTTGGGGCTGTGGGCAGCAATGAAAGGCATTGGAGTTGTTGGGGTGGGTTGGGGCTGTGGGCAGCAATGAAAGGCATNTGGGGGGGGGGGGGGCGGCATAGGTGAAATGGATTTTTTTTCGTCTAAAAATACATTTGAAAGGACAAATCTCTTGAAGCACAAAGTAATCCACAAAGTAGTCCTTAAGATGTTTGCTTTGTGTTTTTCTTCCCCATCGTTACGTGGTGCTTCCTTTCAGTTCAACCCCGAAAAAACCGCAGAGACACACAACTTGAAATGGATGCCAGGACCCAAATGAGTCATTTAACTGCTTCACGTGCTGACAAATCAATGGATCAATGTTCTGGGAACCGATCTCCGGGTCAGGAGAAATCGGGCAAACTCTTATATATCTAAAGTTCATTTCTCTTTTATATGTCCATCCCCGGGGGCGCCCGCAGAAAACTTTCTTGGGGGGGGGGGCAAAAAAATTGATTAACTTTCTAGGGGGGGGAATTTTTTAGTAATGTTTTAATGTAGTTTTAATTTACTGTAACGTATTTGTATGGTGAACGAACAGACAGGACATCAGCTTAGTTACTTTCTCTTTATTTTCTTCTTCTTCTTCTTCTATATCTTAAGGGCCCACGATCAATTTATTGATCATTTTGGCTCCTATGCATGTAGATGGGATTTGCAATGTTTCTGTTCCTGGTGTTGATGAGGAAATTTCACAGATTTCCAGTGCCACTTTGTGAGGGAATCATGCACTGGGGGTTTGAAGGCTTGAGGCAATAGACACAAATGTGTCTAGTGTTGTCGCCTCAACCGTTCCTTTTGAAAGATTGTTCCAGTCCCTGATTGTCTTGGGCAGGAATGAGCAGCTCCTATACTGGCTTCTTGCTGGTATGAGCCTGAATTGCCTGTCATGGCCTCGTCGCTGTCTATGGGGGAGAGGTACGAGTTTCTGTTTAATACTGGAACAGTGGACCAGCCCATTATTTATCTTGTACATCATGGAGAGCCTGGATTGTCGTCGTCGTTTCTCCAATGGTGACCAGCCTAGTGTTTCTAGCATGCTGCCAACACTTGAGGTATTCCTGTAGCGGTTTAGGACAAAGCGTGCTGCTCGTCGCTGGACCGCCTCCAACCTGTCAATGCTCTTTACTTTAATACATTTTTTGTCTATTTTTGTCTAAAAAAATTGTATCCAATCAATCTAGGGGGGGGGGGCAAGTCCCCTTTCCCTCCCCTGCGGGCGCCCATGGGCCACCCACACAGCCCCCCCCCCACCTCGGCACCATGCCACACAACATGAAACCAGGCTAAATAATGTAAGGCTTGACATCCTTTGTTTCGAAAAAAAAAAATTTGGGGACCTTAAAAGATGACAAAAAATTTCGGGGTGAAAATTGAGGCTCATTTGTATATTGGAGTCGCGAAAATAACATTGTGTAGATCTGTTCACCAACGCTTTTTCATCAGCTTTACGCTAAGGGTGAGGGTCGATAGAGTGGGCTCTGTACGACAACCGGCAGAAAAGTTTTGATCAGTTCACTCACCTGATTATAGTTGTCCATTAGAGAGGCCAACGTTTACGCTTGTGCACACACACACACACAAATTTAAAAATATAAAACAACAAAGAAAAAAAAAATATTTGAAAAAAAAACATCAAAAGGACAAAAAATGTTATGGATTAAAATGAAATGAAACAAAAACTTACAAATCAAAATAGCTGTCAACATCAACCAAATAAATCAAACGTATTTTTTTTTCAATGTAGCGTATCCGTAGTGCAGTGGCAAAAACAAACGAAAAACAACAACAACAACAACAACTTGTAAATCACTGTATACAATATTTAATTTTTAAAATGAAAATTGATTCAAATAAGAGCAAATGCAGATTAAACACACAAGAACCCCGATCAAAGTTTTAAAAAAAGTTTCGTTTAAGTGAACCCAGCGCCGGGACACTTCGACAGTTTGAGAACCTCCGTACTAGCCTATGAAACATAACAACGATCAAACATGAAGCACAGCTACTATTGATGTGTTAGTGTTGTGGATTAGCTGGTTGGCTGGTTTGCTGGTTAATAGCAGTTTTCCCTTTTTTCTAATGCCAGCGTCCTGCGTACTCACATAATTATGTATTTAAAACGAAAACAACTGCCATCATCGTGGGAGATCCCATCCCAGCCATCTTTCATTTTAGCCAATGGCTAAATGGCTAAACTTAAGAAATGTTTGTTCAATTAAATTACTTATTTTGTATTCTGTAACAGATCTTAGGAAATTATCCAAATAAAAAAAATAAGAATAAAAAAAACAAACAACTGCCAGTCAGCCAGTATGTGACATGAACTATTAATTGTAAATAGAAAATGACATGGCCATTACCAAAGACATTCATCTTGCTAAGAAAAATAAGTGCACAGAAATCGCAAAAAAAAAAAAAAAAAAAAAAAAAAAAGAAAAAAAAACAAAAAAAAAAAAAAAAAAAAAAAAAAAAAATATATATTTTTAGAGCTTTGCAGTTTCATTCAGCGTACATTTAGTTTCCCCACCAATGGCTTATCAGTTTTCATTAAAAAATTATTGAATTCAGGTAAAGTTTAAACAAAATTAAAATGGAGGGGAAAAAATGTGCTTAAACTTTTTTAAAAGGACCCGGTTACCATTTTTTGCCGGGTGCGGGTGTAATCCGGGTGTGAAAATGATACGCATTTCTTGGTATCCTGGTCAGTACCCGGCTCACCATATTTTCTTGGTATCCTGGTCAGTACCCGGCTCACCATATTTTCTTGGTATCCTGGTCAGTACCCGGCTCACCATATTTTCTTGGTATCCTGGTCAGTACCCGGCTCACCATATTTTACACATCATGACATTAAGTTGAAGCAATAATTAATCTTCTATCCCAGCCACAACATTATTTTCGTTGCTACTTCATAACTGTAGAGTTTATGTGTTTTCCGATGGTCTTAGGCGACCCCTGGGAAAGGGTTGTGCGACCCCCCCCCCCTCTTCTAAGGGGTCGCAACCCACAGGTTGGGAACCGCTGTTCAATCCGGCCCTTTGATAGTCTGGGTTTATTTAAATGTTGGATGTCAGATGACAGCCTGGGTTTGTTTAAATGTTGGATGTCAGATGACACCCCTGGGTGTATTTAAATGTTGGATATCAGATGACAGCCCGGTTGTATTAAAATGTTGGATATCACGTGATATCCTGTATCATTTATGAATTAAAATTGGAGGTGAGGTGACATCCTGACTATATTTAAATGTTGGATATCACATGAATTAAATGGGAGGTGAGATGACAGCCTGTGTGTAGTCAAATGTTTGATGTCAACTGACAGTGTGGGTGTCGTTGAACTTTGTCGATCAAATGAAATAGAAAATAAAAGCTTGTTAAAAAATGATATCCCAATGACAAAGCTTTGTGGCGCTGACATCATTGCACAAGACTGCACCTCCCTGACTAGAGAAGAAAACACTTTGTCGGAAAGCAATTTTTTTTTTAAGAATCACTTTATTGAGAAGCACGTTGTAAATGACATTTTGGAAAAAAATTGAGTAGCAGTCACTTATCTCAGATTAGCAGAAGCTTATCTAACAATATAATGGACAGTGAGAAGCCAAGGCTTATCTAAGGTGATGACAACAATAAGAACACGAGGCTTATCTAGTATTACTATAAATAAGAAAACTTAAGTTTTAAGTGATATCATATGAATGAAAACTTTTTTTTTTTTTTTTTTTTTTTTTTTTTTTTTTTTTTTTTTTTTTTTTATTTTTAAAATTAAAAGGAAAAAAAAAATTAAATTGTAAAACAATACCAAGTAAGGTAAACATCACCGTAAGTCTCAAACAACAGCTTTGTGAATATTTTTGTTAAAAACTAGTTAATATTTAAGAGTTGATCCCCAAAACTGTGACCACTGAGCATGTGTTAAGCACAATTGAGTTGTGATTTCTACTAGCATGTCATTTACATTCTAGCCCAGTCCCCTGGTACTGCTGTAACAATATCACGTTATGATTTCTACCAGTATGTCATTTATACTCTAGTCCAGTCCCCTGGTACTGTTGCAACAATACCACGTTATGTTTTCCACTGTAATGTAATTTACATTCTAGTCCAGTCTCCTGGTACTGTTGCTCAATACCACGTTACGATTTCTACTAAGTATGTCATTTATACTCTAGTCCAGTCCCCTGGTACTGCGTCAACAATACCACGTTAAGATGTCTATTAATATCAGAATTCACGTTAAAGTGGGACCTTTACATCAGGTTTTCACAGTAATTAATAAATACTATATGAAGAAAAAACATAATTCTAAAATGTGTTTGCTCCACGTGGCAAGTGTTTAAAAGCACAACATTGTCCTTTTCAGAAAGGGAATTCACATATGCATCCCTTTCTCTCGGTGCAAGAGACATCGCTTAGAGCATAATCAGATGTCTTGGAGATTTCAACGCAGTTCTTATCAGAGGTCCCCATGGTGTCGGGGTGCCCACTTTGCCATAAGGGATCAGAGGGGACCAAAGTTCTAGACGTGTTCGACCAGGTGAAAGTCCTGTTTTCGTTAATTAGAATCTCAGCGCCAACGTAGTAGGACATGGCACTGTTGCCTGGAATAAAAACACAGTTTGGATAAGCTTAACACAAGTCCCAAAAAAAAAAAAAAACAGTTCAAGAAAAACAAGGTTTAAAACAAAACTGGTTTCAATGGATGATACAAAACTACAATCAATGAATAATACAAAAACTAGAATCAATGGACAAAACAAACCTAGAATCAATGCATGATACAAAACTACAATCAATGAATAATACAAAAACTAGAATCAATGGACAAAACAAAACTGGTTTCAATGGATGATACAAAACTACAATCAATGAATAATACACAAATTAGAATCAATGGACAAAACAAAACTGGCTTCAATGGATGATACAAAACTACAATCAATGAATAATACAAAAACTAGAATCAATGGACAAAACAAAACTACATTCAATGGATAAAAAACAACAACTAGAATCAACTAAACAATACAAACCTAGAATCAAAGGATAATACTAAAACTAAAATCAAAGGATAATACTAAAACTAAAATCAAAGGATAACACTAAAACTAAAATCAAAGGATAATACTAAAACTAAAATCAAAGGATAATACTAAAACTAAAATCAAAGGATAATACTAAAACTAAAATCAAAGGATAACACTAAAACTAAAATCAAAGGATAATACTAAAACTAAAATCAAAGCATAATACTAAAACTAAAATCAAAGGATAACACTAAAACTAAAATCAAAGGATAATACTAAAACTAAAATCAAAGGATAACACTAAAACTAAAATCAAAGGATAATACTAAAACTAAAATCAAAGGATAACACTAAAACTAAAATCAAAGGATAATACTAAAACTAAAATCAAAGGATAACACAAAACTAGAATCGTGTTGATATAATCCACGGCCATGCTCCAGTAACTTGTATAGATCATTCAAGGCAAGCAAAAGCTTATGTGGTTTTATCTAAATGATTTAATACAACGTCCGCATTGGTTTGTCAGCAAAGATGGAGAGAAGACCATTCCTATCGTAGAGAGAACAACACTCACACTGTTAAAGAGAACGTCATTCCTACTGTAGACAGAACACCGTCCCTACTGTAGAGAAAGCGCTATTCCGACGGTTAGATAGAACACTATTCCTACGGTAAATGAAAAGGCTTACCATTTTTGCGATAGAGAATCGATTTAAAGAATGCTAGTTCCTCCACGGAGCTGAACTCCAGCAGTCTTCCGCCTAGAGACTGGCAGTGCTCGATCAGTGCCGGACGTGTGTCCAAGTCATTGCGTACAAGGTAGCATTTGTTGACCAGTTTCATTTGGATAGAATGACCAGGGCAATCTAGAGGAATGAATACACATGTTACAAACATTAATTTAATGTTCACTCTCACTATTTACATTTAAGCGATCCGCTCTGTCTGCATGCAACCCCCCACCCCCACCCCCACCCCACCCCCCCATACACCCAGCACACAATGGTTGGTGGCCTGGACCTGTAAAATAATAACGCGAGCTTTGCAGACGATTACAAGTTGAAGTCGGGGCTCGAGCTGTGTGAACTTTATCCTTTCACACAGCTCGAGCCCCGACTTCTACTTGTAATCGTCTGCAATCTTACCGTCCTAAGAGATGATTCCGTCACTGTCGTCAATGTCCACAGTTTCAACCACTGGAGCCAACAACAAGACTGTTTCAACTGACTAATCCAAAAGGAACTGTCCATCCTCGACTGTATCCACTCAAATCCTTTGTCTCCAAAACCTTTTCCTTTTATCTATCGTTCGCGCTATGGTAACTGCCCCAAACACTCACCATTACGACCACTGAATTTCCTTGTCGCTATCTTCAGAGTATTCCCATATATTTTACCCTGGTCAGCTATTCCCGATGTCCTGTAAGCCAGTGTTTCACAATTTTTTTAAGTTTGGCGGACAGCTGAACTCCTTTCCCATATCACCAAGGATCAGTTCTAGATTATTTTTTTTTTAATAACGCTATATGACCTAAATATGTCGTGCAACTTTAAAAAAAAAAATTGTAATCAGCCAAACTGATAGGACTCGAATTAACCCTTATCCTCTGATGCTAGCCTGTTCATGTAACCCTTATCATTTGATCCTAGCCTGTTCATAGCTTTGCTTGTTTGTTTTTGTATTTGTTTGGTCAAGGCTGTTTTCAAATATTAAAAAAAAACAAAAAAAACTCCCATTGCAGATCTTTTGACGTATTTATAACTTGAGTGTTAATTGGAAATATAAAATAAGCGGTGGATGAAAAAAAACAACAACATTTCAGCCAACATCAACAGTGACGATTTCATGTGAAACGGGAGTCATGCTTTTTAATGACAAGAAAATGAAAGCGTGGATCGACTGTGGACAGTGCTCTAGCAAAGTAGAACGACTGTCCATTCTATTTCCGCCTGTTTGATGTATTATGCTCATGGACGAAAAGCCAGTTTCACAGAGGTACGTCGTGAGCGAAATGGAGGAACAACTTTCATGGCGATTTCCGCACGATTAGGATGATCTGCTTTGACATGAATCCAAAAAAAAAAAAAGGGGGGGCAATTTTGGTGAGAACCATCTTCAGTTATTTATTAGAAGCACGTTCCAACAACTTATCTGGCAAAGTGTCATCCAAAGCGGTATTGAGGCAACAAATGGATTTCCTATTCACCCATTTTATATCCGTGAATCGTCTTTTCTTGGAAAGCTCCACTCGAAAGATCCATTAAGTTGGTCCCGCTTGGAAAGCTCCACTCGAAAGATCCATTAAGTTGGTCCCGGTTGGAAAGCTCCACTCGAAAGATCCATTAAGCTGGTCCCGGTTGGAAAGCTCCACTCGAAGGATCCATTAAGTTGGTCCCGCTTGGAAAGCTCCACTCGAAAGATCCATTAAGTTGGCCCGGTGTTCAAGTATGACCCGTGCGGAGAGATGTGGCCGCATATCTACACAATTGTATGACACCAGACACTACCTTAGATGACAGATTTCACATCCAGATCTGATAGACGCTATAATAAATTGTCATCAAAGGACCGCTGAAAACAAACTTTTTTGGGGTATAAATCCTTTACGTGCATTTTTGTTTGTTTACTTATATGTGATTGTACGTGATTTATCATTTTTATGATTGTTGAAACGGATTTTTGGTATTGCAATTTTTAAAAAAATAAATAAAACTCAGTGCCTGTAAAAACTAATACAATAAAGATATGTTTAAAATCCAAATATGTCAAAAATACAAAGTACATAGCAACAGCAACGTAATTCATCTCCACCCCAAAACTCACAAATATTGTGTGACATATCTCCACCACCCCTTTGAAAAAAAAAATTCCTGATTTTGTGGGGGTTGGTGGATGAAGCTGAAAATTTGAACGCATGTGTTGTCATTTGGCAACCGGTCTATGAGCCAAGGTTCAGCTCGATAGGATGACGGGAAGTGGGTGTATTAGGCCTTTGGGATTTTTTTTTTACCACCACAATGAAAGAAAGAAAGAAACACACGAACATACGTGAGGTTAATATGAAGTATTTTAAAATATGTCATTTGTATGAGTATTAAAGGAACTGTTTTTAAATGTCAAGTTAAAATTTAACATATTGTTAGAAACATGGCGTTAAAATAAAAACGAAATAAGAAGAGTTTTGATTTTTAAAAACAAATATATTGGGTGTGGGGTGGGGGGTAAATATGAATTACCATGAATTAAATAATAGGCCCTCCACTGCGCTTCCATTGATGGCGCAATGGGAAAAGATGATGCGCGGGCCTTGGTGTGCTCCATGCCGTACATGGCGCATGTCCGGATAATTTTGTTGTAGAAGAACATGGTGCAGTTGGCGTGCTGATGACACTTCAGTCCACACTGACATCGCGAGACGTTGGACATTTGACCTTCGATTTGAACTCGCGACAAAGAACGAGCTTCGGTCAGGGGAATGACCTGGTACATGGTCCCTTTCCTAGATGGGGAGGGAAAAAAATGAACAAACAATAGCTTCCCATGTGTGTTCTTCAGTGCGTTAGTACAGTGGTAGACAATGTAAATGTGATACATTCTGACAAAACAATGTGGTAGTATTAGCGTTGTAATATACGCCAGAGTGATACTATTTCATAATGTTCTGTCAGGCTGATACTATTTCATAATGTTATGTCAAGGTGATACTATTTCATAATGTTATGTCAAGGTGATAATATTTCATAATGTTATGTCAGGGGGATAATATTTCATAATGTTATGTCAGGGGGATAATATTTCATAATGTTATGTCAAGGTGATACTATTTCATAATGTTATGTCAAGGTGATACTATTTCATAATGTTATGTCAAGGTGATACTATTTCATAATGTTATGTCAAGGTGATACTATTTCATAACGTTCTGTCAGGCTGATACTATTTCATAACGTTCTGTCAGGCTGATACTATTTCATAACGTTCTGTCAGGCTGATACTATTTCATAACGTTCTGTCAGGCTGATACTATTTCATAACGTTCTGTCAGGCTGATACTATTTCATAACGTTCTGTCAGGCTGATACTATTTCATAACGTTCTGTCAGGCTGATACTATCTCATAACGTTCTGTCAGGCTGATACTATTTCATAACGTTCTGTCAGGCTGATACTATTTCACAAGGTTACATCAGGGTGATAAAATTCCTTTACGTTATGTTATGCCAGCGGGATAAGATTCCATTACATAATATTATTTCAGAGTGATAATATTCAACTTCATAATTTTAACGCTGGTGATAATGTTCCTCTTCATAATGTTATTTCTGGGTCATAATACTTCATAATGTTATGTTAGGGTGATAATGTTCCATTACATAATGTTATGTTAGGGTGATAATGTTCCATTACATAATGTTATGTTAGGGTGATAATGTTCCATTACATAATGTTATGTTAGGGTGATAATGTTCCATTACATAATGCTATGTTAGGGTGATAATGTTCCATTACATAATGTTATGTTAGGGTGATAATGTTCCATTACATAATGTTATGTTAGAGTGATAATGTTCCATTACATAATGTTATGTTAGGGTGATAATGTTCCATTACATAATGTTATGTTAGGGTGATAATGTTCCATTACATAATATTATGTTAGGGTGATAATATTCCATCGCATAAGGGGCCATCCATAAAAGACGTCCACCTATTTTTTGCTAGTTTTACCCCCCCGCCCCCCTTTGTCCACTTTTGTCCACTTTTGACTTGGACACCACCCCCCCCCCTGTTGTGGACGTCCAAAACATAAAACTTACCGAACTTAAATTAATGAATATTTTGGGAAGATGTACAACAATATAAAGAGTGTGTATTTACAAAGATTTTTTTAGAAATTCCTTTTATTTGCAGGCAAAATTCTAAATGTAATAATAACTGTTCAAAACCATTTTATTGAATCACTGTATTAAAAAATGTAATAAACAAATAATCCACCATTCTTCAATCAACGGAAAATTCGGACTGCAGCCATTCAAACATGTTTCGTATAATGACAACATCTGTTCATGAGTCTTCAATTGCTAATTCAATTTGAGTGGCAGTCTCTTCGTCTGATTCGTCTGCCATATTATGTTCACTAGCAGGATTATTGCAATGGACGACGTTATGTATTTTCATTGCCGCCTGTGATGGGAAATATTTACCGCAGAAACATATCCTCTTGGAAATTCTTCCAGCCACCGATGGACAATAGAGATAAAAAGGCATGCTACTGTAACTGTGATCGGGGAGTAAATTTGCAGTAAATTTATTCAAAACTGCTGCACTCAAAAAAACACTACAATGTGGACATCCACTTTGTCCTAAACCCCCCCCCCCTTTGTCCACTTTAGTCCACTTTTTGCTGAGCCCCCCTCCCCCCTTTTGTGTGGACGTCTTTTATGGATGACCCCTAAAGTTATATCAGGGTGATAATATTTGTATAAAAAGGCATGCTACTGTAACTGTGATCGGGGAGTAAATTTGCAGTAAATTTATTCAAAACTGCTGCACTCAAAAAAACACTACAATGTGGACATCCACTTTGTCCTAAACCCCCCCCCCCCTTTGTCCACTTTAGTCCACTTTTTGCTGAGCCCCCCTCCCCCCTTTTGTGTGGACGTCTTTTATGGATGACCCCTAAAGTTATATCAGGGTGATAATATTTGGCAACATTTGTATGTTTAGTCAGGGAGAATACCCATTTAGTAGTTCTATGTTTATATGTCAGCCCGACGTCACCACGATAAAAGCCAGTCTCAAATATCATATATATTTTGTGACCACGGATATACCATTAAAAAGATATACCACTTTGTTGTTTGCTATGCTAATGGTATTTATTCTGTGCAATCGCACTCATTATTCTTAAATACTTTGTTATGCTTGCGTACTTGTATTAACTTTTATACAGTGGCGTACCTTGACATTGTGTACTTGTATTTACTTTACACAGTGGCGTACCTTGACTAAATACCGCCAGAGACGAGCTCCCAAAATTGCGCTCCTTACACAAGCACACATGTTTACATAATGTTTCTTAAAAGCCCCAAACCGCTGTCAGGGGCGGCCGACCCCTTTCGCACCCCTAGGTACGCCACTGCTTGCAAAACGTGTGTCTACTTATACACTCTGACACACTCTAGATCCACTTACCCCGCCGACGATACACTCCACAGAAGACACACTGCCACAGCAGAAGTCCAAACTTTTTTGGTCGCCATCTTGACACAATGAAATGTCCAAAAAACGCGAAGCAGAACGCGGATCGGATAAAGCTAATGATCTTCACCTTCGCCTATCATCCAATCCACACAAAAAAATAACATCCTAAGCTTACCGCTAACAAAATATAGTATACAAGTAGGTAGAGCTCTTGCTTTTTGAAGGGGGAAAAAAAAACAACTTCCCGTGACCACAGCATTAACTGTTCACAGATAGTAGCTCAGTAGATTTTTTGAAATAGTTTCCAATGATAAAAAAGCTGGTTCTCTTTCCTATGTCCAGATTAAACGATGGGACTTTTAACATAATCCCCCCCTTATCACTTGATTACAAGATATCCAACACACCAAAAAAAAAGATGGCACCCAATCGTTATTAAAAGAAATACTCAATTAACTATTCCAAACATCGTTTGATCGGGTTGTGAGCCTGGCACGAGGTGTGATACCGGTTCAAAAAATATGATTATTGACCGCAGGCTCTCCGATAAAATTATGATTATTCTAAATATAAAAAAAAATACAGTTCAAGGCATATCTATTGATACACTGTTGGTATTGTTAATGGGGGTGTCTTGAAAGTGCCGGTGTTGTTAACCACAGTGTTACTCATTTGTAACAATATGGCCATGGTGTACTTGTAATAATCTGAACATAGTGTTACCTAGTTGTAACAATCTGACCATAATGTTACTTAATTGTAACAATCTGACCATAATGTTACTTAATTGTAACAATCTGACCATAATGTTACTTAATTGTAACAATATGGCCATGGTGTACTTGTAATAATTTGAACATAGTGTTACCCGGGGTAACAATTTGAACATAGTGTTACTTAATTGTAATAATCTAACCATCATGTTACTTAATTGTAACAATATGACCGTTATGTTGCTTATTTTTAACAATCTGACCAAAGTGCTACTCAGTTGTAACAATCTGACCACAGTGTTACTTAGTTGTAACAATCTGACCATGGTGTTACTTAGTTGTAACAATCTGACCATGGTGTTACTTAGTTGTAACAATATGACCATGGTGTTATTTAGTTTGAACAATGTGACCATGGTGTTACTTAGTTGCGACAATGGGACCATAGTGTTACTTAGTTGGAACAATGTGACCATAATGTTACTTAGTTGTGACAATGTGACCATAGTGTTACTTAATGTATGATGCACAGGCGATGTCCAAAAGGAAAAGTGCCAATGCATTCGGTCCTGGTTTTCTTTGGCATCTTGTAACACCCTCTGTGGTATGATTTCCTAAATACTTAAGAAACTTTAGATGACGTTTCAAACAATCTAAAGTTTCTAATAGTCCAGAAACCAAAACATAAATACATATATATTTTTTTACATTGTTTTTTTGTTGTGTGTTGTTATTTCGATTGTATATCTAGGAGACAATTGAATGAATGTGCAGAGAATGAAGAAGTTATTGTCTGAAAGAAACTTTACATCGATGATTCTCTCGTTAAGTTAATCACATAAAACACTAAAAAAACACACAAAAAACACGTGTTAGCTTACATCAGTTGAGAAGATTTCTGAACCAGTGGCTTGGTTTGAACTATTCAAATATTTAGGGATTGAAATGGTATTGGTGTGTTTGCGTAGAGTGCATAGTTAAAGTATTTTATGAAAAAATAATTTTTTAACCCCCCAAAAAGGGGTGGGGTGGGGGGGAAAGAGTGACTAATAGCATTCGTGGTCTGTAAGGGATCGGAGCAGTGGTGGGAAACCTGCGGCTGTCTATGTCTTCAAGTGCAGTCCTTTGACGGAATCTTAAGTTTTGCAAAACAACTTTCCTTTTACTTGGCATTAAAAAGAATGACTAGCTATTTTTTAAAATAATATTTTAGTGCGTTTCGCATTCATATACTGTACAATTATAATATAATATACTCTGGTGAACAACATCGGTACAAAACTATATGATCCATTTAGAATATAATTTACACACATTTACATGTATATGTAGCTGAGGTTTCTTGAATGCGGCCTTATTTGATTACGTATAAATTAATGATATCTTACAAAATGAAAGGGTTCCCCACCTTTGTGTATGAACCCACGGTTAAACATTTTGTGAATCATATAAAATATGTCACATTCTCCTGTTTTCCCCAACATGCCAAGAGAGGGACAAACCTATTTCAAACACAAGGGTTCTCACAATGGAAATATGTCATCTAAGACAATACAAGGGTTACAGCAAGAAAAGAAAAATATTGCACATGTTTCAAATTCATTAAATACATTAATGAAAAAATACATGGACAAAAAATAAACGATTGGTCCATGTAGATCGTATGGTCCTAATATGTTTTACGATAACTAATCAATGATTGCTTACAAGAGAAACAAAGTTTCAATTTACAATCATTCAACAACATTAACACCAACAACAATTTAAAAAAAAAAAGACAATTTAGTTAGAGCAAAACATGCTATAATATCTTTAAAGTGTACGTATAAAACATCGAGTAGAGACATCATCCATCAGAATATCTTGAGTCATTGACTCCCAACTTACGTCCAGCAATAGAAGTTATCCACAGTTTTGTTATAAAGATCTGGTTATAAAATATATGTATCTCAAACTAAAAAAACACACTGTCTCCGTGATCTATAAGTCGACTCGACGGTGTCAACTTCACCACCATCAACTCCTCAGCAGATATCCACCGTCCATGCTATTACACCACCATAGTGTTCTCAATCACCAATTATCGCAGTTGGGCGGCCCTCGATCACGGTCTCGGTACAGGAAATTCACAGATGCCGCGCTTCGTCATGCTGCACGAGACGTCGTTCAGAAGGTACTGGAAATCTTTGCTCGCCTCCACGCAGTCCTCATTGGGTCCGGGCAAGGCGTCCGGCTGAGTTGCGGACCACATGGGGTCCCCGGGTCCGAACGACCTGGTCGTGTTGGTCCACACGAATGTTTTAGTGGCTGTGACTGAGATCTGGGCTCCGACAAAGTAATTCATCGATTTGTTACCTGGAATAACACGAGAGTTTTGTTATAAAAAGGTCGATTAAGTTGTTATTTAAAAAAAAAAAAATCAGTTTGTGCAATTAAAATTTTAAAAAAAGATAGATCTCGACATTACGTCATTTAGTTAAACAAAAATTAAATTAATAAATACGATTTTATCTGATACCATATCGAAGGAAAATATTAAAGAAAAGGGAAATAAAGAAAGTAAAAAAAACTATGGGCACAGGTCCCCTAAAAAAAAGCAAGAACAAAGAAGAAAAGGGGAGAAAGTGGACGGAAGTGTAGCGTAGGTAGAACAAAAACAGGAAACGAAATTATAGGATATGTAAAGTTTTCGATGTTATGCATGGGGGTTGGGAGTCAACGTACCAAGTACTTTTGATCAACGTATTCTCTATTTTGATTCTATCCTCCGTACACTTGGCCTACAGGACACGGACTACTGCACTATCCGATTTCAAATTTTAATAATCACCGTTGTCAATGTCTAGAAACGCGGCGTTCTAGTCTTTTCTTATCGTCTGTCTAGAGCAACGTTTCCCGAAATGTATTTTTAGCGACCCGACAACTGTTTTTTTTTCATCTTTCGGTTGCCCGGTAATGTTTGTTTTCGTACCAACTCGCGAACCGGCATTAGGGTCACGCTGATTTAGAGGTTTGTCTCTGATTGGGTCACCAAGCAAACAGCCTGGCCCCACTTTGTAACCCTTTCAAAGACCGTTTGCACAAGTTGATGCTAATGAAGTTGTAACGCCAATATTAGTTTCCTTCCTTCACATGACAACATGTCATTGTGTTACAGCCGATTCTGTTATTCCTTTTGGTGAGTATGAGTACTGTAACAACAAGGATGTGGCTGCTAACAAAAAAAAATTAGTAAAACAGAGTAGGGTTAAACCTGAAAAAATAAACGCAACAAAACAGCGAACGTGTCGGCAGAAAGCCTTCGTCAGCGAACAAAACAACAGAAAAAAACGTTATAAAAATAAGAAATAGCACTTAGCTGGTAAGTAGTATCTGTGGGCAGCAATATTGCAGCTGACGAAGGCTTTCTGCCGACACGTTCGCTGTTTTGTTGCGTTTATTTTTTCAGGTTTAACCCTACTCTGTTTTACTAATTTTATTTTGTACTAACCTGATTACAGTCTCTCCCCTTGTTACCGGCTGCTAACAAGCATGTCTATTATATTTTTTGTGAGGAAGCCAATTTTGTTGGTGTTATTTAATTTGAAGAAAAACATTGATTGCTGGACAGGATATGCCGCCAGGATGGACAGGGTCTGCCGTTAGAATAGACAGGGTCTGCCTATCCCCACGAACGTTGATAGTAATATGGGCCCCTGAAAAAATCGAAATTTTCCAAATAATTTCCGCCTAAAACGCTCATCACGTCGAAGATGTCCCCATAATCGGGGGGGGGGGTGTCATTGAAAACAAGGGACATACGCCTTGACACATTTAATTCACGTCGAAGATGTCCCCATAATCGGGGGGGGGGGGTGTTATTGAAAAAAAGGGCCAAACGCCTGGCCACATTTAAGATAGCACGGGGGAATGAAAGGCCGGTTTTGTGGTTATCGGTTTTTTTTTATTAAAATTTTCTATGACATTAACCGGTTTCTAAACCTTTAAAAAAAAAAACATCCGCCACCCCCCCCCCCCCAATACTTTTTTAAAAAAGAATTGTTTGACTACTACATCTCACAACCCCTAAAAAGTTGTTTGTTTAGGTCTGGCACCCCCCCCCACCCCCACCTTTTTTTTTTACGCGAACATTCACAGTTTAGTGGAGGAAAAAAAAGTAAGCATCTTTTCTAATAGCTTGAACGCCAAGGGCACAAATTATTTTTCCTAAAAAACCCGGAGATACCGGCTCGCACCCCCTGGCGGGAAGCATCCTGGTTTGGAGACCCAGTCTTAAACAAAATATTTTTAGTTAGGTTCATTTGGATGTCCCATCTAAATGTGAACCATCTGAATGTGAACCATCTGAATTTGAACAATCTGAATGTGAAACATTTGAATGTGAATCTTCTGAATGTGAACTATCTGAATGGGGACCATCTGAATGGGGACCATCTGAATGTGAACTATCTGAATGTTGACCATCTGATGTGGATCATCTAAATATGACCATAAGAATATGGACCACCGGAATGTGGAACATCTGAATGTAAACTATCTGAATGTTGACCATCTGATGTGGATCATCTAAATATGACCATAAGAATATGGATCACCTGAATGCGGACCATCTGAATGTGAACCATCTGAATGTGGATCATCTAAATATGACCATAAGAATATGGATCACCTGAATGCGGACCATCTGAATGTGAACCATCTGAATGTGGATCATCTAAATATGACCATAAGAATATCGACCATCTGGATGTGATCCATCTGAATGTGGACCATCTTCAGACATTTCTAGAACGTTTGCAGTATTCAAGTCTTCTTCTATATTTTGAGGGCCCACGATCAATGTATCGATCATTCTGGCTCCTATTATGACCATGTATAAGAACTATTAAATGTTAGATACCAATAGGTTTAGACTCCCTTACTGTGCATCAGGAGACGTGGCTGGCTGTGGTGGAAAGTCTATTTAAAGTTTCAATGAAATTTTACCATCCATTGTATCATAACATTGTATCACTCCTTTGAATCACAAAATTGTATCATCCATTGCATCATAAAACTGGACCATCTGTTGTATCATAAAATTGTAACATCCTTTGTATTATGATTTGTATCATCTTTAGTCTTTGGGGAGCTCGTGGGCCCCCCGAATCATTTTACGGTTAGTTACCCCAATGTCAAGAAACCCAGGGGCTGACGACTCAGCGGTCGCCCAAGACTGAGATTGATCGACGGTGTAGAGATGGACTTACACCAGTTGGGGGTTGTCGGAAAGCCAAGGATCGATCCGAATGGAAGCATGTGGTGGAGCAGGCCGGGACCCTACATGGGCTGTAGTGCCACTGATGATGATGATTACGCTTAATGCCAACGGAAGAACATAATAAGTTTCTTACCGTTTAAAAAGAGGAGAAAACCCTGGAAGAAGAGCAGTTCGTTGTAAGATGAGAACTGGACAAGCTTGCCACCCAATGATGAACAGTTGTTGCTGACGATGTTATGGGAGCCGGCCTGGTTCAGCAGCAGGAAACACTTCTTGTACTTCTTGTTGTAGTTGTATGGGCAACCTAGGGAGAAATGGTACAGTGATAGCTACACATCAATGACAGTTAAACATCCCTGATAGCTACACTTCTATAATAGCTACACATCTATGATAGCTACACATCTATGATAGCTACATATCTATGATAGCTACACTTCTATGATAGCTACACTTCTATGATAACTACACATCTATGATAGCTACACTTCTATGATAGCTACACTTCTATGATAGCTACAGATCTATGATAGCTACACTTCTATGATAGCTACATATCTATGATAGCTACACTTCTATGATAGCTACACTTCTATGATAGCTACACTTCTATGATAGCTACACATCTATGATAACTACACATCTATGATAGCTACTCTATGATAGCTACACACATCTATAATATCTACACAACCATGGTAGCTACAAAGCCGTGACAGTAAACATCTATGACACTTGATAATCCATGATGGCTGCACATCCGTGATAGCTACATATCTATGACAGATAAACATCCGCGACAACCACACCCCTACGATAGCTACACATCTAAGAGGCTTACACAATTACGTTAACTACAACCCCGCTGATAGTCCGTTCCGTGGGTCAGTTCAACCTCTGACACAGTAACGCCCTGTTAAAAAAATTGCACGTCTTCTTATTTATTTATTTAATTAGGCATTTTTACATAGCGCCTACCTTAAAGCGCTCTCACAATTATTAAAAACATGTAAACTAAGTAAAATAAAAATGATACACTAGGATAGTAACTACTATACTATAGAAACAATTAAAATTATCAGCTAAGCTCTCTGATGAATAAGACTATGCCTATGGCTGACAACTTAAAATTTACCCGAATCAACATAAAAAGCTTGCCATGGCGTAACAGGGGCGGCACTCTTAGGATAGACGGAGTTATTTCTCGGGAAATCCAGCCCGTACAGGGCACAGGTCCGGTTGGCCTTGTGGTAGAGGAACGCGGTGCAGTTCTCGTGGTGGTCGCACCTCAGGGCGCAGTGCAGGCGGGACTTGTTGGGCAGGTAGTTGTCCAGGAGTAGCACATTTAGGGTTATTATCTTGTCGATACTGACTTGATCGTAAAGGGTCAACCTGGTGATGACGTTATGTTATATCTGATGTTATGCATGGTCTAGTACATCATAGTATTGGATTTACTAAAGCTGCTGACATGAAGTTTACAAAAAAAAAAAAAAAATCTTACAATTTTGAGTTTTTAAGGTAATATTTTTTTTAATGAACTTTCGTTATTTTATTTAAAGCAATTTTAGAACATTTGTTTCTATCTTTAATGAACATATCATAGTATTGGATTTACTAAAGCTGCTGACATGAAGTTTACAAAAAAAAAAAAAAAAATCTTACAATTTTGAGTTTTTAAGGTAATATTTTTTTTAATGAACGTTCGTTATTTTAATTAAAGCAATTTTAGAACATTTGTTCCTATAGTTAATGAACGTATGTATTTGGTCCGGGAGGGGGGGGAGCAATCAATGCCAGTATTGGCCAGATTATAGATCATTTAACTCACCTGCACGAGGATGACTGAGTGACCTTAAATTGACAAGAATGACTGAATTAATACACTTGGACAAGGTTGACTACATGTTCTCACATTGACGAGGATGACTGAATTAACTCACATGGAAAAGGTCGACTGAATGTTCTCACTTGGACAAGGTTGACTGAATTATCTCACCTGGACAAGGATGACGCAGTCCACAGTAAAGTCATCGATGTGAGCACCGCAGTGGCAGTCTCCACCAGTCTGCTGGTCATCTTTCACCGACTGACCACCCTCACAAAGGTATCACTGTGGACAACAGAAGGAGAGGGCATGCAAGTCTTACATTCACCAGACATCCATTACTAGATCTGAGATTCAACACTAACTAATGTGATCAACTAATCTTAGAATCAACAGTTAAGACTCTACCGCACAGATTTTACAGCCAATATTAGAGCACAATCAGTTTTAAAATTATGCGATTGAATGTACACTGACTAACTGATCGGTTAGCAATGTGTACACTCTGCAAGTTAAGAAAAACAATGTGTACACTCTGCAAGTTAAGAAAAATATCAATTCTTATTTTAATTTTTTTGCATTTTAACTTATCAACCACGCGAAAATAAATTATTGTCAGGAGAAAGTAGCGGGTGTAATTCTTTTGTTTCGGAAGCGGTGAGAAGGGTGGCATCATGAGGAGGTCAAGAGTCTAACACGAGCACACATTTCTAGAAGACACGGATGCATCATGTAACGAAATCCTCGTAATATTCTTTCATCATTTGATTTATTAAAAATTGATTTAAAAATTTCAAACTGTTCGAAATGCTGGGAAACGAAGAAACCATCTTCCAATTTCCAGTTAATGACTACACAGAACGAGCAAATTTATAAAATATAACAGGCGTTAAATACAGAATTTCAATAAATTCTTGGGCGATTCAATTGTTTTTAGACTTCTGCTTGATACGAAACGCTCTTGGTGTAAACTAGTCATCTAGTTCTGATTGGTGTACATCAGCCACACTTAAACACGACACACTTACACACACACACGCGACACACTTGACTGGTGGAATTGGTTTAAATTTGGTTAAATGCACATTAAAGCTGGCTTCACTTTTTCCATTGAATTGTTTACTTGGCAACATTTATTCACAGATGACCCTATAAAGGTGGACAGTGTGACGTCATGTTTTCAGTTATCAAATTCGCCTTCTTATGGGCAGGGCTTTAAACACATAATGGCAATTCAATTTTTTGTGGGGGGAAAAAAAGTAAAGATAATAAAAATGTGTGCGCTCTATAGGATAAAACCAAACTTACACATTTTCTCCGTGTTATGAAAGAATACAATTTTTTTTGTCCAGAGTTACACACTGATATATGCGCATCTGCTGCAAAACGACCACACAATCGCGCAGAGCCCCATGTCGGACGGACACACGGTTTGTTAATGAACAGCCCAGCTCCAGATCTTTAAATTCTTGACGAACATCTGCCACGGTGGCACAAATCAGCGTGCGCACCCAACCGTGAAATCGTAAACCGTTGTTCACAATGTCAGGTTAACAAATACGGTCGCCCAGGGCCGGGGCCATGCTTTCACGCGTCACGTCCTTTCGCTAACAAAACAGTCACACAAAACATTTCTATTGTGATCATTCTAATTAGAAAAAAAAAAAAAAAACTCACGTGGAAAAAAAAATAAGTGTTGTCTCGCGTATTTGTTTCAATTAATTGCGTTTAGCACGGGATATACGGTAAACACATATCCAACTGTTGGAGGTTCCATCCCAATCGATTTCAAATAAATGCCAATGGAGTAAATAGATTGGCCATTTGTAAAGCTGAGAGTTTGTTTGATAGAACCAGGTCTGATGGTAGAACCGGTGTCTGACGTATATTTGAAGGCCACAAGAGTGGACGAAAATAACACGTTTCCACAAAAGTTAGCCAGGTTAAAATGAAACCCTAGAAAAATCGTACCAAGAATCGCCTGTCCGTGACAAGACAAGTAATCGAACTTTCAATAATCTCACCAGCTATTAATTTACAGTTATGCTATAGGATTTCAATAAAATACTCGTATATATTTAGAAGAATTCGATTGAAGACATCTCCCTTGACAACAGATAAAAGACAGATCAATCTAAGTGGCCATGAGAAGCGATGTTGTCGATTACTTCGGTAGTCGACTACAGTTCTCTAAATAAAAAATATATAAAAATTTTTTTAAAAAGCACGTCGGAATTTTTTTTTAGGCAGATGAGCAGCAAAATGTCAATGGTGAATGCTGGGAGAAAGGCAGGCAAGGTCAAGGTTTCTTGGTGGGGAGCGACCTCCCCCCAGGGGGGCGGATTTAGTGCTCCCGTGACCCTTGTGGCCAGGGTCTTCTTAGCAGCTCGGGTACGACATCACTGAAGGCCACCCCCCACCCCCATGACTGTTGGCATGACGAAATTAGCGTCAATGATAAATTCTATTTTAAATTGATTATGAATATGGGCACTAACTTTTTAATAGCCACCTCGCCCTCTTTTTGTTTTGTGTGTGTTTAGCCCTTGAGACACCTTTGCTGATGAGGCACAAATCTCATTTTATTGTTGGCGATTTAGCTGGACAGCAACAACAACTATTGGTTATTCACACCCTGTGGCCAGACGTATGACCTCAGGTTTTCTTTTTATTTTTTTATTTATTTATTTTTTTTTTTTTTTTTTTTTTTTTTTTTTTTTTTTTTTGTTTTTTTTTTTTTTTTTTTTTTTTTTATTTTTTAGTTTAAATTAAGTTGATACGATCACTAATCAATTGATTACAGTACTGATAATTAACTTACATACATTTCAAATATTCATATTTGTTTACGTTGAAACACACATTTACAGGCAATTGTTTAAATATAAGTTTGTTATAACTATGGCGCTTAAAATCAAATAAAATGTTGTCTCTGTCAAATGTCAAACTTTATGTCTTGTGACACAAAGTCCGCGATTACGTCGCGTTTGTTTTAGAGCAGTGATTCTCAACCTTCCAAATGCCTCGACCCTTTGATACAGTTCCTCAAAGCTAACCACAAAATTATTTTCGTTGCTTTTCATAACTGTAGCATAGATGTGTTTTCCGATGGTCTTAGGCGACCCCTCTGAAGGCGTCGCGACCCACATGTTGAGAAATGCTGGTTTAGAGTAAGGAACTTTTATCATTGCTTGGTTTCTGCTGCTTGTGATCATATCAATAGGGGACTGCGTTCAAGCCACGTGAAGGAAATAAATAGTGGAACAATGTATGTTATGGTTTGAAAAAGAAAAAAAAGACATGACTTTCGGCTAGATGCCCTTCTTCAACAGACAATACAAAAATTAACAACATGTAGATTTAAATTTTTTTAAACATAAATAAAGCCTATCTTTTTGAAGATGTCAATGTTGTCAATGTAGGGCAAATTTCAGGATAAGTTTAATTCAAAAAAGAAACATAAAATCACCAAATGCTGAGTATTTCCATTTAGTTGTGTTTCAAAAAGAGTTAAGGACGAACGAGTTAAGGACAAAAGAGTCAGGGGCTATATCTCGCCTATTTACCGCCACCCAAAAGTTCTTACGCACTTTTAAGAAGGAGCAATTCAGGCCTAATCTGTACGGGGGCTCGTCCGTAAATACACGAACTGTTGGCAACCCAGGTCGATGGTGTTTGAGCATGGGGAATCGTTCCTAAGTTAGAGTCAAGCCATGAGGGAATCAGACACTTGTTTAGTGATGTACGCAAGGAGCTTTTTTTTTAAAGTGGAGTGAAGAAGAATGCAGTGGTCCCTCTTGTGATTTTTTTGGGGTAAACTTTGTAAGAGTGCTCATGAAAAACTTAGCTGTGTTAACAGGGTGCATATATACGTCATAATTTTTTTTTTAAAATTCCAACATGGTTCCATGAACTCAAAGCATGACTCTTTCAGTTTCATATCATCAAACAATTCGTCGGTGCAGGAACTAATTGCTTGAGACATAGAGTTGTAAATAAGTGTTGCACGTGCTGTGACTGGAATTGATGCCTTTCAATGCACATACATTTCCCACTGATTCGGCTGCATCTTATGAATTGAAACGATAGTTGAGAAATAGTCCAGCTGGTCTTGTTATATCTTCAGTAAACACGCTTCTCGGTAGAGCTGTAGGCAACGAAACATCTCTGAACTTGGGGGATTGAATTCAGGAAGAGTCACGCCAGGATTGTGTGTAGCACAGAAAGATTTTTTTTCTCAATGAAACGCTAGCGTAAAATTTCGTTATTGCAGTGATAGCTATTACTGATGTGTGCGAATAATGCTGTGTGATCCACTGTGATCCCTACGGGCGTGAGATGTGATGATGATACGGGATCATTACTATGTGATCTCAATACGAGCTGAAAGTTGATCTCAATGCTAACTGGTCGGTGATGTCAATACTAACCGGTAGGTGATCTGAAAGCTCAAGGCAGAGATACGGGACTCCTCAATGATGTACTAGGGAAAATGCTGGTCTCCAGAAGAACGGGATGTACAGTTGAAGCCGGTTATGTCAACGGCCTTTGGGTTTGACAAAAAGCGTCGAGGTAACCAATGATCGAGACGAACGAAAACCAATATGGCGGCTGTATATGACATGAGTTTGAAATTTCTTCATGTACATTATGTGTGGTAATAATTGCAGGTACTTCAGTTAAAAAAAAATACTTTTTATAAAATATTACAGTTATTTGGATCAAATGGAACAAAAAAATAATTAGGTATTTTCTACTATGGCCGAAGCCTCCACATTTTGTGACCTCATTCTGCTGATCGCGTCATGCGCAATGACTATATAGTTTATATAAGTATAAGGCAAAGCACCGCCCTATTACTAAAATACTATTTAGGGATTACTTGCTTTGAACTGTCAACTTTGGCACACAACAAGTAATTAAAGATTTCCCTGAACAATGGTTTATTAGTTTTTGCCCAGGCAAATTATGATCGTTTGGAATAAGGACTCTACGGGTTTTTAAACCTCAAATTAAAACAAATTCATTTAAATTACTTCTAGGTTCTTTCTAAAACACAAGTCCTGTATTTTGAGAAATAAATAATTATTTTAATTATGCAAACTTTTTTTTTTATTGTTTGCTATTTCTTGTTCTGGTAGGGTACGTTACCGAATCCATGTGTGCAACGGTTGGGGAAGCGATGCTGCTATCTTAACGGCTCCTAGCAGATGCCAGGGCAGCCTTGAAGCTCTCCATTGATGGCGAGTCTTTTGGCGGATTTCAAATAGCCGGCGATTGGTCCTGAGGATCCAGACAACCGACGATAAATGGCAAATTCGGCCGCCTGAAGTGCTCGAGATATCGGGGTTCGGTGACATAAAAGAATCGACATAACCGATGAGGAAATGCTAAGACAAAGAGAGAATTTGGCGGTTCTACTTCAGAAATGTCGACTTAACAGGGAATGGCGAGTTAACCGAGGTTGAGATAAGTGGGTTCGACTGTATGAGTTAAAGATATGATCTTGGTCTTGATAAGTTGATCAAAACACCAGTCATCCTTGTCCTCACCCATGGCGATTTAGTTTGGATCCATATCGCCACAGATACTACCATCAGACGACAGCAATTAATATCTTTTAAAAGCGATTACGATTCCAACTGACCAATAAACCAATCAGTAAGTGACAGCTATTGATTCGAAAACGATTTCGAATCCAGTGTCCGATACACTCCTCAGTGACAGCAATTGATTTTAAAACGATTTCGATTCCAGCGACCACAACAACGCTGTTGCTTATAAGATCACGTTTAACTAAGACCGGAGAGCTACACTCTGGATGTAAGCAAACAAACAGTGGCCTTGTTTAGAGAAAACTTTAGACGATTGACCAATGTCACCGCGATATTTGCCTTTGATGTCATTGAAATATGAAGTACACACACACACGCATAGGTTGAAATTTGTTCATGGGGGTTAGATTGGGAAAATAAGAGTTTCTATATTCTTCTTCTTCTTCCATATTTTAAGGGCCCACGATCAATGTACTGATTATTCTGAAATTCTGGCTCCTATGTATGTAGAGGGATTTGCAATGTTTCTGAGTTGTTTTGTTTTTTTTTTTGTTGTTTTTTTTAAAACTTTGTTTCTAATCTTCCATTAAGGTATTTGATTACTCTTTATTTAAAACAATGAGGTAACGCAGGGTCAGAGGCGTAGCGTAAGGGGAGGGGGCATCAGGGGGGACAGATGTCACCGAGCGCCAGCTAGTTAAGGGAGCCAAAATGTGCTTTAAAATTATTTTTTAAATGAAAATAATGGGTTGAGCAGTTGAAAAAAAGAAAAGAGGGCCCTTTAAAATGAATCTTGTCTCTGGGCGCTAATCTTGTCTCTGGGCGCTAATCTTGTCTCTGGGCGCTAATCTTGTCCCCGGGCGAAAAACAACTCGCTACGCCTCTGCACAGGGTAACACGAGGTGATACAGGGTAACACGAGGTGACACAGGGTAACACGAGGTGACACAGGCTAACACAAAATTGCTCTGAGTTAAGAAATATTTAGTTTTTCGTAACATCGCGCGAGCAGATGCTGATGAGAATGCGTGTCCTTGAACTCTAAACCCGTATTTCATGTCACGACCTCGGGGTTAGCGTCAATATCACTGATGTTGCGTCGGATCTTTGACATCAGGGTTCCTCAAAGTGGTGGTCCGTGGACCAGCAACGTGCCTCGTGCCTTACGTCCGTGTAATTAATTGTAATTTAAAAAAAATTATATTCGTATAGAAGGGACTTGAAATAACAGATTTTAAAAAAAAATGTTTATGACATTTTTAAAGTCAAATAAAAATATAAATATCAATATAACTATAATTGTCTCTGTATGAAAGAGAGTATATATATAAGAATGAGTTAGAGTGACATAACGCCAAAAGGGAGAGTAATACTATAGTTTCATTTGCCCAAGGCAGCACACGATACGCCTCAGACTGAATTTGACAAATAATTTACCTTCTTAGGTATATATATATATATATATGGGGGTTATAAAATAGGGTGTGTACAATTTTACGTGGATGGCAATTTCTTTAAATCCAATGATGTTACAACTGGGTAAAATAGATGCTTTATTCTCATTTCACCAATTAATAAAATCATTGACGTCAACAAAACGTAAGCACATTTACACAATTATACCCATAAATATCAAACCCATTCATTTTACACCAGCGAAAATTTAATTTTCAAAATAGCGATGAGTTAAGACTTTCTTAAATGATATATGGATAGAAAGCTATATAGATAAATAAATACATACTTGATGAATCTTCTGTTTAAGCTGTAAAGTGAATCATCCAAGCTTGAGGTGGTGAGCCGAATTGATATAAATTTACATGCGACCCACATCACGTTCGCAGTTCTGTACATAGTTTAAATTATTTTTAGGAGGATTTGATAGAGACAAAAAAAATGTCCGATCATGTCATTTTCATGACTGATCTTAGTTCAATGATATTTCGTCTGTCTGTGGGTCGATCATGATCATTCTAAACACTGACCTGTTGCCGGGGCTGCGTCTGTCTGTGGGTGCGCAGATGGCTGATCGGTGGGGCTGAGTCTGTCTGCGGGTGCTCAGACGGCTGATCAGTGGGGCTGAGTCTGCCTGTGGGTGCGCAGAGGGCTCACCAGTCCGATTCGGGTATGAAAAGTTCTGATGCATAAGGTGCAGGGGATGGATGGGGGGGGGGGACAACTCCAGGTACAGCGCTCGCTCAGGCTTTGTTACGCTTGTCTCTTGTGTTCTGCGCCCCAGGCTCGTTCAAAAGAAGCTGTTATTATGTTGCACAACATCAGCACAATCTAATGTACTCAATTACGCAATCATTACTGAACGCGTCACTCTCGAAGTTCGACACCTCTGAACTGAATCGGTCACACAGAGCTGTTTCACGTCTTAAACGGTACTTAAAACCCATACTGGTAGACGCCGCTGACAGCATTCCATAACGCAGATAGAGATTTAAAAAGTTTTTTTTTTTTTTTTACAACGATACGGTTAAATTGAACAATGACGGAATATATTTTGTGTAGCTTGGAGTAATTTTCAAGATGTCTGTATGTTTAACATTTAGCAATATACTTAGGTCTCTGAAGACACTTTAGTCTTAGTCCACAGCCATAATCTAGACCGGCCTTTCTTGGGTCGGATGGTACTGCTTCCTTAGAAGGCGTCGGGACAACCCTGGGATTCTAACATAATTTGTCTTTTCAAAAATTACCAGCGTCGAGTTCCAACACTACTCGTCTTAGGAAGGTACTTTAAGTAGACACAAGTAGAAAGCAGTATATGAATTTAAACAATGAGCTGCCAGTTTTCCGTATTCGCTCTTAAGAAAATAATGATTATTTGATTGCATTAATGTCATTTTATTATCGTTGTCTAAATCTTGAAAAATTAAATACAGCTGGTGAAGAAATCCCCCTTCTAGCAATCTGTGAGCTACTGAAATACCCGACTGGCCAGGATGGCAAAATGTGTCTGAGTGAGACAACATGAATAAAGTTTTGAATGTAAAAAGGCGTGAAAAATAATAATTTAAAATTATTTTTTGCTCAAATTGACCGAAGAGTTATATCTAAGGCCCTCGAAGAGCTTTGTTTAGGTCCCTGGTGTTGTGCTTAAGTCACCCAACTACATGTAGTATTGCTGGGTCATGTGACATATAGTGTGGCTTGGTCATGTGACATGTGGTATGGCTGGATCAAGTAACACGTATTATGGCTTGTTCAAGCTAATCAAGTACCGTAGCTTTTAATAAAATAAAGAGGTGCGTCTGTTGTACATTGATTCAGTGTTCAAAATGTCAAACACACAGCCATACACACAACCTTACACACAGCCATACACACAGCCATACACACAGCCAAACATACATCAGTACACACAGTCATTCACATATCCACACAGACAGCCATACACACAGCCATGCACGCACTCATATACACAGACATACAGAGATACCTACAAACATTCACGCAGACATTCAAATAGACATACATACAGAAATACACACGACATACATACAGCCATACACACAGCCATACACATAGCCATACAGACATACAGACATACTGTACCCAACAGAAAATAACACACCGCATACAGTATTGAAGTCTATTGTGACATGTCCAACTGACATATGGTTCCCATGTCCTTCTGTAGCTGACAGGAGACGTCATTTAGCAGGTAATCCAATTGTTGGTCCATGACCACACAGTTGTCCCCTGACCCTACAGCCCCGTCGGGCTGACCACTGCCCCACATGGCATCGCTAACGGGCAACGACCTGGAGGAGCTCTGCCAGACGAATGTTCTTGATGCGTCAAGTGCGAATGCACCAATGTAATACTTCACCTCTCGCCCCGACACGGGATCTGGAAATTGAACACAAATAAATAATACAGCGCATCGCAAATTTGAAGTAAACAAATAGTTGAACAAGATATGTTCAGGCTTTAAAACAGAGACAGGACAACCAAAAGGACGTTTCGGTCAAATGCCTTCTTCAGCAGATAATAGAAAATAAGAAATTTAAAAAATATAAAAACATAAACATTAAATTGTTTATATTTTTTTAAATCAAAGACTAGTTTAAACGCACTAAAAATTAGTGATTAGTTACACATTTCTTAAAATGCATTACGCAAAGCAGACTGTGCAGAAGTGTAGATGAGCACTCTATGTAGCCAAACGATTTAAATTGAATCAAGATGAAACTTATAATAAGACAGTCTGCACACACCGACTCTAAAACTCTACAAAAGCTGTTCTTAGAGTGATCATCACGACAAACTAATTAGATGCGGTTTCCTCACAAGTACCCCGTGAAATATTGCAAAATTTATATTTTTGAAAAAATCCATTATTCATTTTGGTATGACAGGATGTGACGTCAAGCAACTTACTTAGGAAAAAAAAGTTTAACTAAGCATTTGCTTAACCTATAAATTTAAAGAAAAAAAATATCCCCATCTCGCTGAGTACTTGGTGGAATTTGAGCTAGGGCACCTTAGAGGAACCTGCACTGAGAAGGGCGCCGAGAACCGAGGAGATTTTGTGAATGACTGGTCTACATCTTTCTTACATTTCTTTTTGATATAGTTCCTAATTACAGTTAACTCTTTGGTGGTGTGAAACTGAAGAAGTTTGCCGCCATGATTGGAGCACGTGCTGGTGATGGTAGACAGATTGCTGAACAGTTTGTAAGGTAAATAAATGCACTTGTTGAACTGTCGGATAAAGATGTAAGGGCACTCTGTAGAAATGAAAGATATGTTGAGCTGCATGGCAAATGATTGTTATTATAGATTGCAAAAAAAATAAATAATACTAATTTTTAAATGATTGCTTAGTTAGGACTATACTGAATATAATTCAAATTATTGAACACGAAGACGTAAAGTCTTAATTAAAGCACAACCCACGTCTAGTCAGTCTTAAGCAAAAACCAACCTATTTATATTTTTAACTAACACACAAACCGTGTGCAGTCTTTATTAATTAGACACACACAATTTGTGTCAATAAAAGAATATATGTTCAGCTTTCAGGGAGATTACAAATCATGTATTCTGTAGTTTCATTGTTGAGACTGAACATATATTGTTTTATTGACACAAATTGTTTGTGTCTAATTAATCTACTTTAAAGCTTTATCGCAGTCCAACGCTCATATAGTCTTTACTAAAACAAAAAGCCTTGTTTAGCCTTCATTAAAACACAAACCATGTATAGTCGTAAGTAAAAGTCTTAAGAAGAAATATATCCCGTGTACAAACTTAACAAGAAGGACATCCCATTTTTCAAGTCTTAAACTCGGACAAAGCCCAGATGAACTCTGAAGTCAAAAAATGCAACTGACAGTCTTAATTGTAACGAGCCCATTCGCGTGACGTAGCAATACCTGACCGCAGATAGTAGGCGTTGAATTCAGCCGAGGGCGGCTTGTCCTGGGGAAAGGGTGACCTGGGATAGTCGACCCCGTAGAGCAAGCAAAGTTTGAAGCGGTTGTGAAGAAACATCGTGCACTTCCGGTTCTGGCCACAGCTCCTGGCACACGACAACAAGGTCACGGCCCCCGGGCCCTTCTCCAAGAGCAGCAGCTTCAGCTCGACGGCCTTTGGCGTGGTCAGTCCTTTGTAGTGACTACTGGCTCTGATATGTTGAGGCGAGTCAAGAAAGATTTTCAAAAAAAAAAATAATAAATTAAAATTGATATTTTGCAAACGAAATGACTGTTAAACGAAACGTGTTTTGTGGTGTTAATCAGTCTGATGAATATCATGTTCTCGTTAAGGTGGAACACATCTATTAAAATGACTGTTAAATGAAACGTGTTTTGTGGTGTTAATCAGTCTGATGAATATCATGTTCTCGTTAAGGTGGAACACATCTATTAAAATGACTGTTAAATGAAACGTGTTTTGTGGTGTTAATCAGTCTGATGAATATCATGTTCTCGTTAAGGTGGAACACATCTATTAAAATGACTGTTAAATGAAACGTGTTTTGTGGTGTTAATCAGTCTGATGAATATCATGTTCTCGTTCAGGTGGAACACATCTGTTGCACGATATCGGATGTAAAAACTTCTTAAATTCATTCACACATAACATTTCTTTTTCAAAGTACGTCGTGTGTGTGTGTGGGGGGGTGTGTGGGGGGGGGAAGGGCATTCAAAACTATATTCTTGTACAAAACCATCACAAATCAACTCAATCTCGTCCGACTTCAACACTACACAGCTGCCTAACCGTTAGAGATGAAACAAAAAACACCAAAAAACAATAAGTATTCTATTTTTAAAACTAAGCATATACATTATTTTGACTTTTTTTTTTAAATTAAAGGCGCTATCCGCGCGGAATATTTTTTTTAAAATGAACGTATCATTGCGACTCCAGTATGAACTCGACACCCCCCCCCCCCCATCCCGGGACACTCCCGCCTATCAACGGAATCCGAATTTCAAGGAACAAAAATGAGCGCCGTCACAGCAAGTCTTCACCGCCTTTTCATTCACTCAGAGTGACCGCAGTCACCACAACATCAAGAAATTAAAGTCATACAGTTTTTTGGACAGAGTCTAAGTCAAGGATAAAAGCAACTGATGTCAAACAAATTTCGTATGAACGCTGCAGAAATCGTAAATTTAAAAAAAAAAAGTGTTTTTTTTTCCATAAATAGAAACGAACTATTATGAGGGAGTCTAAGACGCGTTGTGTTAGATCAGCTGATAAATAGGGGAGTCAACAATAGGTGCCCCAGCTCATACGCGTTACCTTGACGTTGAATAAATTAACAGGGTCGGGGGGGGGGGGGGTTTAAGCGTTTGGGGAAAAAAAGAGGGGGGGGGGCGTGATTTGGTCTTGAATTTTGTAATGGGAGTAAGATGAGCTTTGCTGTAGCTCACATTAACCACACACCATCACCCAGAGGAGACGCCCTGTACGTAAGATGACGCTCACCAAATACGTTTGGCGAGTCCGGAGTCAAAGGGTCAAATGAGTCAATGGGTCAATTGGACAATGGGGCAATGGGCCGATGTGTCAATGGGTCAAATAGATCAAATGGGTTCGAATGTTCCCGATGAGCTACGGAGCCGAGTCTCACATCAATTCCTGTGTTTGTAGGTTTGTAAGACAGTTTATTTGATCACCATTTGATATCTTTCAATGGTCGTTGGTATTTCCTTTTCTTAGTTCTACTTATTCAAGAGAAGCGGGGGAAAAAAAAGGGGGGGGGGGAAGACGATCAGTGAACAGCGCTGAAGATACTCCCCTTGCTTTCAGAGTTGACAGTTTAAAATTTTCCCCCACAACAACTTTGGGCCTCTTAAATATCCCCATACAGTTGAGGCATACAATGGAAGCATTCAATGGAAGTATACAATGGAAGTATACAATGGAAGCATACAATTGACGCAATTAAATGTAAGTATACAATGGAAGTATACCAAAATGGAAGTATATAACGGAAGCATACAATGAAAGCATAATATAATAGAAGCATACAATGAAAGCATTCAATTGAAGTATACAATAGAGATATACAATGGAAGCATACAGTTGAAGCATACAATGGAAGCATTTAATGGAAGCATACAATGGAAGTATACCAAAATAGAATTATATAATGGAAGAATACAATTAAAGCATAATATAATAGAAGCATACAATGAAAGCATACAATGTACGTATGAACAGTTAAGGCATACAATGAAAGCATACAATGGAAGTATACCAAAATGGAAGTATATAATGGAAGCATACAATGTACGTATGAACAGTTAAGGCATACAATGAAAGCATACAATGGAAGTATACCAAAATGGAAGTATATAATGGAAGCATACAATGGAAGCATGAAGTGGAAGCATACAATGGAAACATACAATGGAAGCATTCAGTGGAAGCATACAATGAAAGCATGAAGTGGAAGCATACCAATTTATTTTTGTAGATAATCGCTCATAAACTAAACTGTGTTAAATGGAATGATGAGAAGCCCAACAACTTTTTAACTAAAACATTTAAATTTGTGTGTCTCTCATCAGGATGTTATACCAACCTCGAGACTGTGGGTAACAGCGACAAGACGTGCAGAGATGTTAGTAAACATGTCGTTCGTGTAAACGCTAGATTCATTCTCGGATTCGATTTCACGGAATTCTTGTCGATCCTTTCTTGGAAATTTATGTTTCACGGAATAAATACGTTAGTGATGTACTTCGGGTACACACAATAGTTAAGCCTATTCATGATTTATAACTCATTGAAGACAAAAACTCGAAATTGGTGTGCAAGCGCTTACATCTAAAAACTTTATTTGTTCTGTAAGCATGCTGACCTAGTTCAGATAGTTACAACAACTTTATTTCTTTTGTTGTTGTTGTTGTTTTAAATTTTAATGCAATATAATTTCTTTTTTTTTTTTTTTAAATATCTCCGGAATAGTTCAGAAGAATTCACTGTTAAAAAGCCATATGCCAAAGTTTGATGGGTAAAGATTATATTTCCTTATTCTATTGTTTTATTTTCCCCTAGCTAGTTTATTTTCTTCAGAGTTTACCGAGCGTTTCGCTTGTTCTGGGAAAAGTTCGACCCTTTCCAATGGAAGCTTTCACGTTTCAAACGCCAGGCTATCACGTCCAAGTGTAGGCGTTGAGGCTAGGAGGACTTTATAGGGAACCTTGTTATCGCATTCCTATTTTACTCGCCTTTGTTAACCCTTATCAACCCAAGCAAAGCCCAGGAACAAACAATTGTTGTAGTGAAGTCGAATATAATGAGTTTAAGTAAGGCACGAGAAAGCTTTCTTTGTTTTACGTGGATTTGATCAGTGGCGTAGGTAAGGGGGAGAAGAGGGTCGGTCGGCCCACCCCCATGCGACAATTTTTTCTTGCGGAAGGGGGCGGAAAAATTGTTGAGTCGCTCCGGAGGGCACGATATATATATATATACTCCACTGGCTTTAACACAAAAAAGGTGTGTGTGGGGGGGGGGGGGTGTAGTGGGTAGGAAATCAGTTGGGGCCAAATTTGTTTTGAAATTACACTCATGCGACAATTTTTTCTTGCGGAAGGGGGCGGAAAAATTGTTGAGTCGCTCCGGAGGGCACGATATATATATATATATATACTCCACTGGCTTTAACACAAAAAAGGTGTGTGTGGGGGGGGGGGTGCGTAGAGGGTAGGAAATCAGTTGGGGCCAAATTTATTTTGAAATTACACGAATTAGAAGATGCCGATGTTTTAAACTAAGACCCGGAGCTCTTTAATATAAATGTTTTCTTTTGTCTGGTTTGCTTTCCTTGATAGGTTGCCGCTTCTTGTTGGTGACCAACGTCTTAAATAGGCTTCCGCTCCTGGTTGGTGCTCCATGCCATCAATAGGCTTCCGCTCCTGGTTGGTGTTCCATGCCATCAATAGGCTTCCGCTCCTGGTTGGTGCTCCATGCCATCAATAGGCTTCCGCTCCTGGTTGGTGTTCCATGCCATCAATAGGCTTCCGCTCCTGGTTGGTGCTCCATGCCATCAATAGGCTTCTGCTCCTTGTTGGTGCTCCATGCCATTAATAGGCTTCCGCTCCTGCTTGGTGTCTTCTTCCTCTTTATTTTGAGGGCCCACGATCAATGAATTGATCATTCTGGCTCCTATGTTTCAGAGGGGTTTGCGCTGTTACTGTGCATGGGTTTCAATGGGATGCTTCACTGGTTGCAAGGGCGACTCAGCAGTTGTGTTATGAACTGGGGGTTGGAATACAGGAGGCAATAGACACAAATGTGTCGAGTGTAGCCGCCTCAACTGTTGCTTTTGGAAGCTTGTTCCAGTCCCCTTTTGTCTTCGGCAGGAATGAGGAGCTCCTGTACTTTGTTCTTGTTTTTACTAGCCAGAACTGTCTGTCATGGCTTCGTCGCAGTCTAGGGGGAAGGTGAACGAGTTCAAGGTAGTGCCTTGGATCCCATATTTCTGCAGTTTGTGTAATAGCAAGCTATGGTTGACACGGTCAAACGCTTTTGAAAAGTCCAGCACAAGCACATCAGTCTGCTTGCTGTTCTCCAAGTTGGTCGTCAATTCTTCAGCAAATTCAAGGAGTTGGGTCTCGAATGATCTGTTGACTCGAAAACCATGCTGACAGTCATTGAGTATATTGTGTCTTTCCAGGTGATTCATGACCGCGCTTACGATTATGTGCTCCAATAGTTTACATACTACGCTAGTGAGGGATACAGGGCGGTAATTGGCTGGGTCGTAATGCTCTCCTTTTTTGTAGATTGGAGTGACATACGCTGTTCTCCAGTCAGTTGGAACGTTGCCTGTGAATAGCCATGCCATTAATAGGCTTCCGCTCCTGGTTAGCATTTCTATACTGACCTTGAGGCCGACTAATCAAGTAGAGTTGTATTCAAGCAATTATGTATTCTACTCTAATTAAATGGGATATATGACAGAAGGTACAAAATACTTGCAGCACGCATTGTCTCGCAGTTAAAGACACATGACCAGATCACCCAAGTTCCTAAAGATCTCCACTGGCTTCCTGTGAGTGAGCGCATATGGGAGGCTCTGCCCCTGAGACTTCTAAAAGAATCCTTAAAGAACCATCACAGTCCCTACTGAGAGTTCCCAGAGAGTATGGACACAGAAAGAAGTCATACGGAGTGCGCTCTTCAAAACAGTCCCTACAGAGAGTTCCCAGTGTGGATGGACACAGAAAGAAGTCATACGGAGTGCGCTCTTCAAAACAGTCTCTACTGAGAGTTCCCAGTGTGGATGGACACAGAAAGAAGTCATACAGAGTGCGCTCTTCAAAACAGTCTCTACTGAGAGTTCCCAGTGTGGATGGACACAGAAAGAAGTCATACGGAGTGCGCTCTTTTGAAGCTATAGCGCCTAAATTATGGAACAGTTTGCCTCAATCTTTGAGGGAAATTAAAAGTGATCAATAATCATTTAAGAAACATTAAAAGACTTTTTTTTACTTTAAATAGATTTTATGATATCAGAGCGCTGTGAGCATGCTAAGATAGCATGGACACAAACGCTATACAAATAATCAATCATCAACAATCATCATCACCGTACTCGAATGAGAACAGGCTCTTATAGTCAATTTCGAATGCCTATATTGTCGCATATTTTAAAAATAAAATGTTTTTTTTAAACTTTATTTAAAAATGACCTTCTAAAAAGGACGAGTTTAAGCGCGCTCAAGTGTAGAAAATACGTTTAAAATGTCATAAAGTGCATTACTCATAGACATATTGTGCAGAAGTGTAGGTAAGCACTCTATGTAGCAAAACATTTCTAGTCGAATGTAGACGAACCTTATATAGGTTTTTATTTTATTTCTTTTTTGGTGCTAATTTTTGAAAATATTTTCTGCGCAGACTTTCTTTGCGTAATTCATTTTTTTTTTTTAAAAAGTAACTTCTTTTTGTTTGTTTACTTTTTAGTGTTTCTTTTAACTAACCACAATAAATTATTTTGAAAAACGCACCCGTGGATGCCTGTGTTATCACAAATAAACTTATTTTTTCTGCACTCATTTGATACAGAAATCGCTTTTAAAAAGATGAGTGAGATAGAGGATAACATTTAATAACCGCTAGTTGAGTTTACTGTTATTAAGCATGTCAATGTGTGCATTAAGAACAAACGTTTCTATTCATCCTTTTGTGGGCGTCTGTTTTAATATCTGTGGCCCGTGAATAGTATACCACTACCAAAGTGGACCGCGAAGCCTTTTTTTGCATGCCCCCCTCCCCCAGATCTAATACATAAAAAAAAAAACCTAACATGTATAAGAACGCTTGGAAATTTGCAACGGAAAAAAACAAACAAGAGACCAGCAGGGTGTTGTGGGATGTCGTTTATTACCGGCACGCGCCTAACAGCCTTTATGTATTGGAAACCATTATGTCGCATTGATTGCACTGTCAGTCGCCCGGTAGCTAATGGTGGTTTAAACGACAGTAAAACATGGCGGTTATCTGCCTGTCAGGCGACGACCCAAGGACAGTGTGGGGGTTGTGTGTGGGTGTGTGTGTGTGGGGTGTGTGTGTGGGAGGGGGTTGTTTATGTCAATGTAGAGAAAATGTTGTCAGACAAGGCGGTCAATGCATTGGTCCAGTTTTAAAGTGTCACAGTGAATGCCAGAACCGTAGACCTGCTGTTACGAGAAAAGGTTGGGGACCCTTTGAAATGGCACGAAAAATGTTTCGCCTTAAAACAAAATATATTTTTATCATTAATATATAAAAAGTTAATGTTTCTTTTAGTTAAATATCAAGGGGGAGGAAAAAAACGACTAAATTTTAATTGATATTTCATAATGTTTTTTTTAAAATTGTAAATAGGTATCTAATATCTCTTATTAGATACTTTTTTTTACAACTTGAAACAAACAATTCAGTTTTTGCTGGATCATTATCACGTTGGCTTTGAAAAGGCAAGCCACGAAATGGTCACTCTTTTTAATCTTTGGACAATATCAATTTGGAGTTGTTCGGGGGGGGGGCGGTAAACATTCCAATTGGAAGTTTTTAAATTGTGTACATTTTGATGACACGGTACACTCAGTAAGCAATTTATTCCGTTGCTTGTTATTTAGAATGTTTGGGAAGAGTTCGTTTCCGAATGAGCTCTACGCAGCGTTTTATCACATCAAGGGGAAAAAATGATTTTGAATGTTTACACAGGCATGTCTGTGTGAAAAAAAAAATAATTGTTTATAATATACGATTTTTTAAAATAAATTTAGTTCCCCGAAGGTATGCGGCTAACGTATAGACAGAAAGAAGGACCTTGAGTTGTATAAGTTAAACACTTTTTTGTGTGCAGGCCTTTAACCAAAAAAGTGTTTAGTTGTTGGTATTTCGCACGCAAAGAGGACCAAGGCAATTTTCGACTTGAGTAGGAGCCCTTGGCCTGAGCTGTATTTTTGTTGGAAGTGAAGGAGAGTTGCTCAATTCGTCAGCCTCACTCTCTCGTCCATTCCTATTTGATTTTGACCCGATGGCAATACTTGGGTCAAGACGACTGGAAAATTGATACAGGATGCAGTAGACGACTAGCAGTGTGTGTGTTTGTATTTGTATATGTGTGTGTTTGTATATGTGTGTGTTTCACAGGTGTTGGAATTTTCATTGTGTCATTGCTATACCAAGTGCGAGACTCCATCTCCATCCAGTTTTGAATTCAGAGCGTTCAGTATGTATACATCTCATGTATGTTTACATTTTCCTGTATGCGTACATTTCATGCATGTGTATATCTCATGCGTGTGTAAGTCTCCCGGTTACTGTACATCTCATGTATGTGTTCATCTCATGCATGTGTACATCTTATTTATGTGTACATCTCCTCGTGCGTGAATGTATCCTTGTATCCACAGCATGTGCACATCTCAAGTGCGTACCCATCTCCTGATCTAGTGTTTGTGTGTATAGCCAGAGAGTTGTGACGAGTTAAATTATAACGGCACGCCGGGTTAATCGCTCAAAGTAAATCCATTGTGACAAGAGAAATATCACAGCGTCGTGGGAAAGGTTAATTAAACACATAATCAATGTCTCTAAACATAGGCAAAGACCGTCGAACGACTGAATTGCAAACGTACACCAGGACCGAGGACTGAACAATGATAGCAATCCACCGAGCAATCCCCATAATATCGTGGATAACCAAAGAACGACTGCAGTTATACAGTTAAAGTTGTCTCTCCCCCC